AAAAAAACATGTGCCTCTCCACCAGTAATTTATTATGGCTTATCCTCTGTCTCCTATAGGAATGAAAAGGATGTGGACTTTGATGTGGATCGCTTTATGAAAGACATGGAATCGTTTGTGAGGCGTCAGGGCAATGAAGACACTGGCAGTGATGTTGATATAGAAGAAGGATCATCATCGGATATGGAGTTCGGTGAGTGAGATTTTTTTTAATTTCAATTAGTCAATCTTTTTGGTAGCACTGGTAGAATGTTATGTATTAACTTTACATGCAGATTAGAATTTGTCGCTTATTTGTGCTATCGGTGTGATGTGAGGCTTGTTTCCCATAGGTTGGGCTTGGTTGGGATAAGGTAGTGGGGTGCCATGTCATTTTCCTCTTTTGGTGAGTAGGTAAAGTGATAGTAAGAAGGCTCAGTTAACCCTCCATGGCAGCTTTTACCTGTCCAATTTTAATCTGTCCAATATTGATAAGTCACTCTTATATAGGGAAGTCAACCAGGTAGTGTCTCTCCCCTCTTCCTGGAGGAAATAACATAGTACTGGTGAATGGTGTGAGTTCATCTTTTGTATTCCTCCTTCACCTATTCTACAGTCCTGCTAAAAATACTATAGTTTTATTTTTTTAGGTGGGTGGGATGCTCAAAACTATAACATGTTCGCACATCACAAGGAAAAAAAATCACCTTGTACATGTCCTCCCCCTCCCTCTTTTAAAAGAATGCTGAGTAAGAAGAAAAACTGTCATCTATTGCACATGCAGATGAATCTGAAGATGAGAGTGATATTGCCGAGCCGTTTGATGATAATGATGAGGGAGGTGCCGCTTTCATGCATTCGTATTCGGACACTCTGAATGAAGAACTGAAAGGAACCACACTAAGTAATACCCTTGTCCGTGCAAATGGAGAGTCCGTCAAGAAAGATGAGGTTAGTCTACACTCATGTTTTCTGATCTTTCCTGGAGATGAGGTTTCAGCTGGTAGCAATATTCCTGCTATACTAAATTTACAGTTGATTCATTTACCCCAAATCGTTCATCGTTGACAAACTGTTTTATGTGGGTAGAGAGTGGGTTCTTGTAAAGTCATGTGGCTTGTTGCTCGATATACCCCGCTATGACAGAAAACATGGAAATTGTTATGGTTCATTGCATTTCTATTTACGGCTATGTCGCTAAGGTCATTCATTGAACAAATATATGTATCAGGGAACATCTACTGCTGCAGAAAGCATGGAAGAGGATTTCACTCCGGTAGATGTGGATTTCAATCTTGTAAAGAATTTCCTGGATTCGTTTTCTTCTCAAGATGGACTTCCAGGACCTGCTTCTAACTTGCTTGGACTTATGGGTCTACAGCTACCACCAGATGCTAGCAAAGGGAAATAACCATATTTTTGTCAAGCAGTTGAGACAAAAATATACACTAGTCTTTGGTGATATTTCATGTATAAATTGAGACAAAAATAGATTTTTTATTGTAAGAGTAGAGAGATCCTACTTGTTTCCTCTTTTCTCTTTTCATTGCCTTTTTTCTAACGGCAATCTTTACAATACTACGTAGTACGTATGTTTAACTTCAATGGAGAAAAAAGGTGGAAAGAAAATGAATTTAACTCCGTTTTTGTTTTTTTTTCTCTCTAGCCTAACGCTTTTATTTATCAACAATTTTTCCAATCCAAACGAGTAAACACTTAAAATTTTTCTTATATTACTCTTGTAATTAATTTTTTTGAAGGTGTCATAAAATTCTTAAAAAGTTTTTTTAATGGGAATTAATAAAATTATTTTCTTATTTATGATTTCTTAATATGTGTGTGAAAAGAAAAATAATTAATTAATATGAGACAAATGGAGTAAATTCATCAAATCCTACACGTTGAAGCAACGAGAACGAGTGCTTGATGACAATTAGACACAATAATTCGTCTTCATTATGTATCATGCATATCAAATGCTGATGTGATACATTAATTTTAATAAAATATTTTAAACCGAATGATTATTTCATAAAGAAATACATACTCAAAGTTGAACGTGGTTATTAAAAATACAAAATTTGAGTATTACCTGCTACAAAGAAAATTTGAGTATTTGTTTGTAGTGGAGTAGCTTTTTGTTGTGACTTTAACTGAGAACATCCACCAATCAAATAGAGCATAGAGAAGGAGAAAGAAATAAAAAAATCAGTGATGGGAACGGTGGCGCAAGAGGCGGCGATTGACTTACTGAAGAGTGAGATTCCGGTGGAGGAAGATGAATCGCTGCTTCTCTCCGGCGACGTTAACACCGGTCTCGTACTCGTCGACATCGTTAATGGCTTCTGCACAGTAGGAGCTGGCAATTTGGTAAATTTATCATCACATTCATTTAATCTAGTTTTAAGCTTCCATATTGATGCATATAATCTTCTGGATTTATATAGGAAATAGACGGCACAAAAAACAAATTTAGATGAATCTGCAAATTACATCCGTCGTGTTCTGTTTGGATCGATCTATTTGTGAAGGAAATACTTCAAAATTCATACTTTTTTTTATATATAATTATGATTTTCCGGTCAATTTGGACGCAACTCGACTATGACCGGTTTTACTCTATTCACTAAAGTTAAAAGATTCAAAACTCATACTTTTCCTTCTCAACCAAAAGAAGAAGAAGAAGGAAATACTTTGGAATTCATAGTTTAAGCATTTCGATATAGGAATTGTGAAATTTGGAAAAAAGTACCAGTAGTATTTTTTTTCAAGTGGAAAATGGTATTTGGAAACTGGAGTTGTGTTTATACATACATACAAATTGGGAATTGTTTTCGATTTTTTGTGAGTGATTTTTAGCAAAAATTTAACTTTTTGGAGTTCTCCAAATTCTGGAAAATTCCGAAATTTAACTGAATCAAATTGCCATCCTTCCTTTCGGAGGAGTTAAAAATTATAACAATTCTATGTCCAAACAGTTTTTCGGAAATAAGTGAAAATTATTCATGACTAAACGGTAAAAAATGTATAATTTGACTTATGGTACACATATATGCATACAAGTGAGTTTAATTGTGTTCATGTGTAAGAAGCAAAATATGAAGTGTAAAAGCAAGAAATGGAAATTTAAATGGGATGTTCGAAGAGTTATACTTTAAGGCCTTTGTAGCCATTCTTCAGTTATTTGTTCATGGTAGTTTTAAATTTAAATGTATGTTAAGCCAAACTCATGTGACGTTAGGAACTTGTGGTTAGAGATGAAGCTATTATTAGATTTCTGGATTACTTGAGCTGGTAATTAAGTTGGTCTACTGCCGTTTTATGTAAAAATGATTTCTAGCTCAATACAGCGATGCTTCGAAAATCATCTTTGTTTTTCCTTAATTCAGTGTACTTTCTTGGGATTCGGGATCCACAGGGAAGATAATCTTGTGTGATAATCGAACCTTGCACTCCACTAGGGAGCTTTGTTCAATCTATGTAATCTTCTTTGAGTTGTTTCATTCTCTCTCTCTCTCTTTCTATCCGTATGTTGTTCCAACGTTTGTTTTTCAATAATTTCAGTGACTGTAGTGGCTAAATCATTATTTCTACTAAGCAATTAATGTGATCCTTATTCCTCATATTGTTCATTTTCAATTAGATTGTGATTTTGTGCCATTTGCTTTGCTATAGGCTCCGGTGGCACCTGATAGACAAATTTCAGCAATGGTTGATGAGTCAGTTAAACTTGCAGAAGTGTTCTGTGAGAAGAAATGGCCTATTTATGCTCTTCGTGATTCTCATCATCCTGATGTGCCTGAGCCACCTCATCCTCCACATTGTATCACTGGAACAGATGAATCTGAGTTGGTTCCTGGTTAGTATTTCCTTCGTGTTTTGTCCTTTCAGGTTAAAAGTGAGTTTTATCAATGTGGTCTTCTGTCATCATTTGCAGCTCTGCAGTGGTTGGAAAATGAACCAAATGTGACAGTGCGATGCAAGGATTGTATTGATGGGTTCATTGGATCGATTGAGAAAGATGGATCTAATGTCTTTGTAAATTGGGTGAAAGCTAATGAGATTAAAACTGTAAGTATCGCCACATCTCATGATTTGATCAAAATTTGTTTCCATTCCATTCTATCTGATGTTGTGAGTATCAATATGTTGGTTTAGATATTGGTTGTAGGGATATGCGCGGACATATGCGTGCTTGATTTTGTGTGTTCTGTCTTATCTGCACGGAACCGTGGATTTCTCTCCCCCCTGAAAGATGTGATTGTATATTCCCCTGGCTGTGCTACTTTTGATCTTCCAGTCCAGATTGCCAGAAATATTAAAGGAGCTTTACCTCATCCACGGGTGAGCTGATATGTATATTGGGCTGTTAGCCATAAAAACTTGAACCTTAGATACTCTTCTTTTTCATGGGAACAAATATCGATTGTCTATTGACAATTTCACCATTCTCATCATTTGCTATGTAGGAATTGATGCATCACATAGGCCTTTACATGGCCAAAGGAAGAGGAGCAAAAGTAGTTTCACATATCTCATTTGACACGACAACCAGCGAGACATAACTTTGAACAATGAGATTTAGATCCATACCTCTCATTCGAAACTCAGAAGGACACTGCTACAGCTATTGCAGACTTTACGAAGATCTTCTTAGCTTGCGTAGTCTTATATTAAGTTATAGTAGAAAGATAAATATGTCCATAGGCATCTTTTCTTGTTCAGTTGGATATGCAGCTAACTCTGCTTGTTCCAAAGCTACTAAATACTTCTTCCATATTGTATTAACTATCACGTTTTCGATGTCAAATAAATTTGTCTATAGACAACTTTGATTGTTCAATTGAATGTGCTGCTATACTTTTGTTGTTCCTAAGTTACTAATATTTTCGCGGTATTGTATTAATTCTTGCTTAGATGAAGCACTTGAAGAATGGTACTGTTATATAAATTCTTTGTTACACTAACTTACACATCAAGACCATACATACAATCCCCAAAGCCTTCTCACTTAAAACCAAAAAAAAAAAAAAAAAAAAAAGTATAACCAACATTCTTGCCTATCCAGATACATGAAAAAATACCTGGAGAAGAATGAGAACAAAGGGGAAAACCGGAAAAAGAGAAAAAAAACAGACATCTATAAAGGTACTCCACCTTTCAGGACCTGGTATTTCCTATTGTGATGAAAAAACGAACGTTTGCTCTTCTTTACTTTCGTTCCAAAGATGAACGCTCTCAAAGGTATCCTTGATCTACTTGCTGAGTTTGTTAATTGTGGTTGATTTCCACCAACATCAAACTGATGATCTAGTTTTCTTAATGTCTTCTCAACATCTACTTGAAGTGTAGTTACATGCTCTACACCAGCTTCTAGTTCCTCTCTTACCTTGTTGTTTTCTTGTTTCATGTTCAAAACTTCACCTTGGAACTTTGCAGCTTGATGGCTACTGAATCTGATTTCATCTTCTTCAACGCCGTCCTTTAGTGCTTTTGTGATTTCCTCCTGAATGCTGCATAAAGACGAGAATCTACGTTTCAGTTCATCTTTTAGTGACAAGCTTTGTTCTAACCATACGGTTAGCTCATTCTGAATCTCCCTCAGGTGTTTATATATTGGCCTGATTTCTGATTTCATGTCTGTTTTGGAGCTGCCCTCTTTTGTTTCCTTTTCTTTGAGTGTTGTTATTTCGCCCCGCAAATCTTGGGCTGTGGTCTTGAATTTTTGAATCTGATGAAATGCTGAGCTAAATCTTAGCCAGAAATCCAAGTTTTCGTCTAGTAATGCATCAATGCCCATCCGGAGTTTCTCTTCAACTGGTGAGAGGGATGAACGTTGATCAATCAAAATGATCTTGACATCCTGTTCATCCTTCTCTTCCTTTTTAGGCGTGTCCTCAGGTTTTAAGCTTCGATCATCAGAAGGATTGAAATCTTGCTGTTTTTCTTCTTTCGACTCTGAACTTTCAGAAGCATTTCCTTGTACAAGACTCAACTTTAGACGTAAACTTTCTATCTCTTCATCCTTCTTTGAAATAGCACTTTTAAGCTCTCTTATCTGCAACGTGACTTCAAATTCAGTGTCTCTTTCTTTCTTCTCCATTTCAATTAGCTTCCTCTTTAATTCCTTGTAATTCCTGAGAATTGTTGTATATTCTGTTAAGAGGATCTTTTCTTTATCTTCCAAACCAGTCAACAGCATTTGCTGCCATGTAAGGTCATCATCCTTCTCCTCGTCTTCCTGTGGTTTTGGCTCATGATGAACACTACTTTCAGACTTAGATGAGACTCTCTCTTCACCTTTTTCAGCTACTGCTGGCTCTAGAAGTTCGACGTGTTTCTTAGGGGATTTTGTATCTTCCTGAACTTCTTTATCACTAACAACTGTAACAGGATCTTGTTCTTTCTTAACTTCACTTGCACTTGCATGATCTTGTTCTTTCTTAACTTCACTTGCACTAACATGATTTTTTCCTTTTCTGGCTCCTTTCGTGACCTGATATCAGCAAGATCCTCCTCTTCATCTTGAGATGAATCCGACTCATCAACTTCTTCATCTGGTTTCACACTCGTCAATTTGAACGATAACTGGCCAAGACTGGTATGAGCTTCAGCAAAGTGAGTCTTAAGGCTGCTGTTTTGAGTTTCGACGTCTTTGTTTAGATCCTGAATACCCTTCAATTTTTCTTCTAGCATGGTCACTCTAACGTTCAGATTGTGTGTGTCCTCTGTCAGAGTAGCTGCCTTATCGTCTTCCAAAGTCCGAACTTGTGTGTGGAGTCCACAGGCTTCTGTTCTTAATCTCTCAATAAGAACAGTTTGTGTTGAAACTGCTGTTTCTAAACTGACTACCTTATTCACAAGCTCATCAATCTTCTCTGCCAATTGTGTCACTGTTAGAGATGACATAGAGCTTGCATCGAATTGCTCATTCATCTTGCCATGCAACGACTCCATTTGCTCACCGGCTTCTTCTTGGCTCGTGCATTGTGATGATACATCTGTTACTTCAGCAGATTCATCATCTTTTTCATCTGGTTCTCTTTCATCAGCTGGATCACCCAAGTACGTTTGCCTGAATGACTTAAGTTTCATACGAGCTTCATCAATCTTCTTGAACTCCTCTTTTGCTTCATTCGTAGATTGTTCTTGTTTCTCCTGGAGCTGAGCCAACGTTTCTTGACACGATTTTAGTGCTGCTTCCGCCATCAAGGTCCTAGCCTCATCATCCTCAATAACCCGTGCCTCACCAAATTCATCCTCCAAACTGCAAATCTTTTGATGCTTCTCAACAATCTGGTGCTCGATTTCCATCGTCTTAGCAATCCCACTTTGGTAAGAACTTTTCACAAACTCTTTCACAGTTTGCAAAGACAGTATATCTCTCTGGAGCTTGTCAATCTCTTCAAGCGCCTCGTCTTTAGTCAAACCAGATTTTGGTGCTTCTTTGTTTGCATCTCTTGCTTTGTTAGCTGTTTTCTTGCCTAGAAATTGCAGTGTACCTGTTTTCAACAGACCTTTCATGTCTTTAACAGGAGCCTTTGGAGGAACATTTGGTATATTTGCTCCAGTTGTTGGTGCTTGAGGGAAGTTCTTTGGCATTCTTGGAGTACCATAATCATCTTCTTCATCCATTGCTAGTTGAATCTGTTCTGGAAAAAGTGTTGCAATGGTGTTGTTGGCACTCTGCAACTCCCTCGATAACTTGTCGTATCGTTCAGCCAATGCTCGATAGGCACGATAAGATTCTTCCACAAAGTTTATTAGCTCTGGTCTTTTCTTGTAGTACATCTCTGCTCTTTTAGCAAATGAATCTCCATCTTCTTCAATGAGCTTGATCACATCTTCTACCTTCTCTTCCATATCTGCAATGACACTTACAATTAGAACTTCCGATAAACACACTCAACGAGCCAAAATCATGGGCTTAATGGAACGACATAGTCAGTGATGATTCATACATCCGACCCCACCTGAGATATAGTTGTTGTAACGAGCCAAAACCATGTTAAGAAAAGTTTTAGAATGACACAAGTACAATTAGAACTTCTGATTTCCACACTCAATGAACCAAAACCGGTTTGAGATGAGCTTAATGGAACGAACATAGTGAGTGATGATTCATATACTCGACCCTAACTTGCTAGGGACTGAGATATAGTTGTTGTAACCAGCCAAAACCATGTTAAGAAAACTTTTAGAATGACCCAAGTTACCATCGATTTCCACACTCAACGAGCCAAAACCATTGGTTTGAGATGAGCTTAATGGAATGAACATAGTCAGTGATGATTCATATACTCGACCCTAACTTGCTTGGGACTGAGATAAAGTTGTTGTCGTTACGAGCCAAAACCATATTAAGAAAACTTTTATAGAATGACACTACAAGAGAACATAGAAATCAAAATGGCAATATGATGTTATTCCTATACCTATAGGTACCAACAATCTCCTTGGATTTTTGTATCTTTTCTTAATAACACATTGTGCAATTCATATGAAATTTCTGATAACATTTTCCTATTATAATTTGAAACTAAATAAACAATAAGAAAATGAAAGTACTTGAAATTTCTAACAAAAAATTTGCAAATTTATCAACACAAAATTTTAGGTGCAAAAAGACATAGATCTTATTCATATTTGTATTCAGAACCTCATTTAAGGGTAGAGGGACAAACTCTTTATTCATCACTAATCATAACCCCATTAAAGGTACAAGCATGCTCATTATCCATCGAGTTTCAAAACTCTTATCATAATATTTCTCGAATATTGAAAAATAAAACATACCTTGAAGGCTTTGTTCTAGCCATTTGGATTGTTTAGTCCTAATATGGCTAGCAGCCCACCATGAATAAGCATTAGTTGCAGCTCTTTGTAACATTTTGAACCAATTCTTGATCTTCCTTTCTACTAAATTTCAAAAAATACAAATCAAATATGAAACTCTTCCTCTTTTTTTCTATTTTTTTTCCTACAATAACAAAGAATGTATCTTCTTCTTTTTTGTTTAGGAAAGAAAAAGAGTTTCAATACATGAGAAATTTTCTTGTTAATGAAAAATGATAGGAAAAAAATGGAATCATAGTTGAAAGGGACTAACAAACTATGATGTGTTTTTTTGTTTTGGTTTCTTTTGTTTGGCTTTGATGTCGAATTATAGTTTTTATTGGTTGAGAGTTCCTTTAGCACCAAAATAAATGTTGGACCCTTCTCTATTCTTAAAATAATTTACAAGCTTTTTTCACAAAAAAAATGTGTGGGGACAATAGCATTTTTAGTCCCTTGATTATTGTTAAAGTTGGATTTGGTCCTTGTGGTATCTGAATAAGCATATTTTACTTTCAATCACTTGAGATGTGCACTTTTGATCCCTTTGCTTATGAATATTCATAAATTTTTTGATTTATTAACCACTTATTGTTTCATAACTCACGTGTTATGTTAAACTTGTAATGTGATATATTCCTTTTAACAGCAGAGACAGTGGAAAGAATGTTAATTCTTCAACAAAACCAAGTCTTCTCGTGATTGAAGAGGATCCAAGAAATCAATTTGAGATCAATAAGTCAAATCGAATGAACAACTATATTGTCTTGTTGAGTTTTGCATCCCCGTCCTTCTTTGCATAATTCATCAGCAAAGACAATTTACTACGTAAGGGTGATTCATCTTGATTATGAATTTCACGATTAAAAGAGATTGTATTAATCGTTCATATGATCGTTCTTCTCTCTTTAATTGTTATTCTATATTTCAAGATAATATAACAACATATCCAATACAATTCTATAAGTGGGGTCTGGATAGGGTATACCCTACATTTGTGACAGTAGAGATTCTGTTTCTGTTAGATCCTCGACTCAAAAGGACATTTTAGGGTAATATATTTCTAAAAATAGTCCATATGTCCTACATAAGAGAACCAAATCGCATATCATAAGGATCAAAACTGAAATTTATCAATAATCGAGGGATCAAATATAGTATTTCCCTTCCTTTTTTCTTTTGTGACAAAACCAAAGCTAATGCCATTGACAACCAATTATGAAATTAGATTATTGTGAACATGGTATCCACTGGCCTCTTTTAACAACTTGTCACATTATCATAAAGAAGAAAGAATTAGAAAATCAATAAACAAAAGAAGAAAATATCTTTCTCTTTGTCCTAATTTTTTTTTTAATAATTATTATTATAATTATTATTTTGGTACATTGGAAAAGATTAAACTAAATATTTATGTGTTTTGCATATAATACAAGTAGCTGCTTTTGGCCTGTCATTAACTAACTTTCGGTTACATATATTTAAAAGAATATCAAGTGAAACTCAATATGCAAAGTTATTGTTTACTTAGATATTCATTTCGAGAATTGGATTATTTCAGATTCGTGTCGTGTAAGAGAAAATATTTTTTTTCATTTTCAATACTTGAATATGAGGTTTCTGATTAAGGATGTAATAATCTTATTAATCCTACCATGATCGTTAATGGTCTCTCAAGCTAATCACTAAAGAACGACTAAATATAAATTCATATCAAATACTTTACTCTCTTTCTACATGAGTTTATTTTTCTTTTTTCTTTTGGAAAAATTCAATTGGAATAGGTCTTTTTACTCATCAAAATAATCATTGAAAATTAGGTCCATGATAACAACATCAAATAAATTATTTGAAAGAATAATTATTTAAATACAACTCATCATGATCTGAGTTTAGATACTCAATAGCTGGGAAAAAAGGATCTCTTAATAATTTTCTAAAAATATAATAATCTTAGAACAAATTAGTACTAATATTTTATAATTAAGGGTGTAAAGTATCTAGTGCTTAGAATAAATAAGGAAATAAACACATATTAATTAATTGCACTTTCATAATAAACATTGAAAAGAAAATTGGAGGCTTCATAGAAGGAAAAAGAATATGCCAATGGAACTTATGTACTCTTACCTTTTGTTGTTTCTTTTCTTTTTCTCACTCATCGAGACAGAGTCAAAATTTGATGTTTATTAATATATACTCAATAAAGTTCTTATTACAATTCAAAGTTTGAATCTAAGTTACTAATTTTGATCGAATCCATAAATATAACATGATCGTCGTAACATATAGTGATACATTTCTTATTATAATGTAGTGTCTGAGTCAATTTGCGTACTTCGATTATTGTAAAATTTATAACTCTCACAATTAATATTTACGTCAGTTAAATAAATGTGACGTATGTCTTTCGTAGATGTATTTATTACTTAAAATCATAATTAAGAATATGTTATTATTTCACTTGTCAACTTCAAATTATTTAATTTGATATAAATATTGATTGAGTGCATGTGAGTATTAAATTATCACTCGAAAGATATATAGTATTTGTTATTATCTCCAACCTAAATATCCTACTATTTTTACTATATAGTATATGATAACAAATCCATTCTGCTCATTTTTTATTAGTAATAATACCAAAGTCAAATGTTTATTACATAAAACATAATCTCCTACTATTATTATAAAGAAAATAACAGAAAATCTTTCAAAATTAAATTAAACAAGCTAATTAATTTGTTCTTATTCAACTTATGTAAGCAAGAAAACCCTTAATTTTCAATATTTTTAAGGACAATATTTGTACCGACATCATGTCAAGGTCAATAGAAATAACGTACACAGGCCACTTTTCGATCTTGTCTTTGAAGAATAGTTATTAATTTGAAATTTCAAATTTCACGAATAAAACTTAAAAATAGTCATTGCGTCGAGGTCAAGCATTCTATTCCCATTAAGGCTAGGGGTAACTAATGGGCTTTTACCAATTTCACAGTTAGCCCAAAAGGGGTAACATGTAGGGAGCCCAATCAAAGCCCAACGTCTATCGTGGGCTTCATAAACCAGCCCAATAGTAAGTCATTTTGGCACATTTATAATTTGTTTGTCTGAACTTTCAAAATCAACTTGTTTAGAAAGGTGTTTTTCAAAAAAGTACTTTTAGCGAGAAATTGTTATAAATTTTTTTAAAAATTGAGCATCAATTAACGTCTGGTCAAACCTTTTAAAACTGCATTTGAAGAAAGAGATAGAGATTCTCAAGAGCGGAGCTTCAAGAGGAGAGACCAGAGAATAGTAAGAGTTAATTTGTCTCAATTAAGCTTTTTGACGGAGCGAAGAAGGATCTTATTTGAATTTAGAGGATTCTCTAAGTGTATTTTTTTCTTTAAAATGTTTAAGAAAAAAGCTACTTTTTAAGCTTCTGGAAAAAATTCACAAGCATTAAGTGAGCAATAAAGACTTTCGAAAGTTAATTAGAGTTCATTTATTCCTTTTGTTTTGATTTATGTGACATATTTCATTTATCGAGAATTAATTTAATTAATTTTTAAAGTTAAATTAAATTAGACTAACTTAATATTTTAAAATTTAAATTTCAATCAACATTCGAAAACATAGAACAATAGAAGTTGTAAATCTTCTCATATTAATATTATGAGAAAAATTATAAAATATCAACAAAGTTCATATACTGCTTTTTGAATTTCAAGAAACGTGTCATATAAATCTATACAAAAGAAAAGATGGAGTATCCCACAATCACTCATTTTTTCTTGGCATGTGATTATCGTAAAATGGAATAAGTCGAGAGTTAAATTGATTAAATTTTAAAGCTAAATAAAATAAAATCAATTGAATATGTTAAAACTAAAATTTAGATCAACATACAAAAACTATATATATATATATATATATATATATATATATATTACAAATTGCAAATCTTTTTTATCAATATAATGAATAAATATATTAAATATTAATTAAAATTTATATACTCCTAATTTATATTTCAAAGAAGCCTATCGTATAAACCAATAGAAAGAAAGATGGAGAATCCCATAAATCACTCATTTTTTCTTGACATATGATTATCATCAAATGGAATAAATCCATCTTTTGTGTTACGTGACAAAAATGTTTCAAGTACGCAATTGAATTGAGAAAAGACAAATTGTTTATATCTTAGAATCACAAAAAAAAAGTCATTTCAAAAAAAAAAATTACTCCCTCCGTCCCATTTTATGTGACACTTTTCGGATTTTTAGATTCAAATAAGTCTAACTTTGACCATAAATTTTTCATAGATCTTTTTAACATTTTGAATTATCAATTGTTATGACTTATAGTATTTTTTACGTAGTTTACAAATATATAAATTTCATTTCAAAAAAATTGAAGATTTCATGCGCAAATTTCCGGTCAAACTTAAATGGTTTGACTCTCAAAAAATGAAAAGTGTCACATAAATTGGGACAAAAGGAGTATCATCAATAATTGCTTTCCGAAATCCCTCTAGTGACACTTTTGCTCATCAACATTTATTAGGATTAGAAGGAACATCAATGAAGGTGACATTTGCAAAAAGCACCTATCTCTTTTTGAAATTTTATCCATAAGAATCTAACTACATTTCTCAATAAACTTCTTTTGAATAATGGTATGGTTTCACCCGCACAGGTATCGAGTAAATGATTAAAAAAATTTATGTGTGATAATTTTATTTAAGGTATTGATCGATCAATATTTTCGATGTATGTTGTCTAGATTTAAAGTATTTTTCACTTCAAATCTCATGCCTCAACCTATAAATCATGATACCACCATCTTTGACGACATGATCTTTTCTTGTTCACTTATGCAGATAGCGGAGAGGCCGACTATTATATTCTAATTCTAGGGTGGTGCCTCACAAAGGTTTAAATAATCAGAATTTGCACTCATTTCATTGACCAAACACTCTTGTAATCTAACTATGGGATGGTGCCTCACTAATGTTTAGGTAATAAAGATTTGCATTCATTTCATTGATCGATGACGTCATTTATCTTAACTATGGGGTGGTGCCTCACTATGATTTAGATAATTGAAAAGAACTACTCTTTAAAATTTACACGCATTTCATCGATCACTAAGACATATTCTTAGAATTAAGTAACATAATGTCATACCACTTGACATATTGCAAAGTAGGAAGCAGCAACAAAATATAAATTCTTTTATAGTTATCCAAACTATTATTTTCTTGGCACTAATATGTGGTGAAGAAGCAACCATCACATAAAAAAATAATAGCCACAAACTATATTTTCTTCCCCCCTATCACAAGTGCAAGGGACACACAATTGTTTATTTTTATATCTCAGCATGTCCCATTGGCAACCTCAAATACCAAAAGTGGGGTCTGTTTCTTTTTGTTTAGCAGAAATCTCCTGGTGGAAAAAGTTGGAAACTTTTTATAAAGGGTATAGGAAAAGTAGGCTAAAAGAACTTTATAAAGAGCTAACAAGAAATACATCAAAGCTAAACTTTTGTTTTATCACTTTTCACCCTTTAGTGGCAATGGTCACATGCCATTCTTGCAAAACATCAAGTGTTGGAATCAATTTTGTGTTTAAAAGGGGCTTTGAAATCAATACAACAACAAAAATGGTCCAAATTCATCTTTTTTTTAGGCTTTCTTGGCTCTGAGTTGAGCAATCAACAAATGTTGTCTTTCCCAACTCATTGTACTTTCATCATCAGAAGAAGAAACGTCACACGTAATTAAAGATCTTGCTTACCGAATAACTTTCCTAGTGAAGGAAAGAAAGTTTGATAACAAGTCTTGTTGAAAGAAGAACTAATCAAAGATGTTGCTTACCGAATAACTTTCCTAATAAAGGAATGAAAGTATGACAAGTTAAGAAAGTTTTGTTGAAAGAAGAACTTAAGACTCCACGAAGCAACTAGGGGTATCAACATCTAGTATATATACATAAAACAAAGGACCTCCTTTACGGCACCCCAGCTCCAGCCATGTTCTTGGTTTTCAGGCACTGTAATAATGAACAATAAGACTGAGGGCACCACCACAGAATAGATTGATGACAATGAGATGTGGAATGCCAACAGAGCCTTTGCTAAAACAATTTCTGGTTGCTGTAAAATATTAGAGAAACTCTCACTAGGCAATCATCTTATGGACAGTGCAATATATGCAGAAAAAAACTAAACCAAGAAAGATGATGCAAATTAGCAAGAGTGAGAACATAATATTTAACATTAATGTATAATCAAGATATAAACAGTGATGTTTCACTTGTCTGGATACTGGAAGACAGATGATTTATTTACAATAGCAGCAGGTAAAAAGCATACTACTTCTCCCATATTCACATTAGCTATATTTACACTAACAAATCAGCTTGATATGTCAAAGATGACAACAGTTTGTGTTTTTGAGCTCGTAACCAAAGACCACTGCCACGATAAACTTGATTATTTGTCTCTCGCAAATGAAAATGCTGACCTGCTGCCACTACTATTCAATATTGATGAAGAACTTGCATATCTCCTCATATACTAAAAGATAGACCCTGCTTCAGAAAATTCCTAATGCGTAGAAAACGACCAGCTGCAGTATATTCAAAAATTCTGAAGAGAAGAGAGCCATTGATCCATATACTTCTTACCCTCTGCAAGTATAAAAAGAAATTCAGACAAGATCACATTCACTCGTACGTCTGATAGAGACTACACAGACAGGCATAGATATGATACATAGTAACCTATCTAGAAGAACTCATAACAAATTCTGCAGGCTTTAAATCGGTTTAAGGCCAATACAAGTCGTAAGTTTGGAAACTTCATAGGGGAAGAAACAATAGCATTCAAAATAAAAGGAAAAGTCAGTTCTTTGTCCATTGTTCTCTCCATGTTTAAGCTTTCTTTAAGAACCAAAAGGCTGAATTGAAAGGGTATAACATGACCAAGATGGAGTATGTAGGACTCACTGCATTACATTAGAACGAAATTTTATTGAGGTTCTTATTGTCAAATTGCACAACAATACAACAACATACACAGAGAAATCCCACAAGTGGAGTCTGAGGAGGCTAGAGTGTCCGCAGGCCTTGTGGAGAGAGGCTGTTTCTGAAACACCCTCGGCTCAAAATACACAACAATGGATATGATAAATAATGTTCATTGATTGTAGTACGATAACAGTAAATATTGCTCATCAATTCTACTCCATTAATATTATCTACTATCCTTCAATGCAACTATTGCTTATTAAAATCTAAATCCAATGATATTACTCTATCCATCTACGTCTTGATGGGAGACGGGCTTCTATTTTTAGCGCTATTATGCTACGCTTGTTATCACGCGCTTGGTAACACGAAGGATAACAATACGACAAACTCACATGTATCTTTTTCTCAGTCTACACATTACTAAACATAACTAATTTAACTAATTCAGCTCCAGAGGTGTCATTATTGTCAGAGCAGTTGCAAACAAGCATAATGAAATTCAAATCATAGTCATCAAAGAACAATAATCCAAAAGAAAGATATTCAACATAATCAATGCAGCAAAAGCAACAGGAACATATCTACAGCTCTTACCAGCAGGATACTCATTTGAAAGATTCTCAATGGCACTTAAAAACTGATTGTTTGGCTCTCCTATCTCTCTACAATCATGCCTGTAGCAAGGAACCAACACAGCAAAACTGTCATCTCCCTCATCATCATTCTGGAAATCAGGGGCATGTGGTTCCAGCCACCCGATCGACCAGTCAGAGTCATCGGATTCGGAACCTGATAAACAAACACCATCAGATGGCACCAATACCACATCATATTTCTTATCAACCCTCTTCCTCTCCTCTCTACTCTTCCATTTCCTCTTCACTTTCCTAGAAGTTGAAGCTAGATTAGCCCCCCTCACTGACTTAAACTTCAAACTATCACTTTGTTCCTTCAATCCAAATCCAAAATCTTGCAAGGGATTCATTGAAGATCCATTAGACACTGGTTCCTTCTCTTTCCCACCCCACCACCACCATGACAAACGAGTCAAAGAAACTGCCATTTCATCCAAAAGGGATTCTACAAATGATCAAACTTAGCAAAAAAATTCAAACTTTAAGCTCTGAAACACAATCAAGAACTCAACTCCAAGCCCCAGAACAAAAATTCAACAAATGTTTAATCCATTACTAAAACAAAATATCAGATGGAAGACAAAAGATTCAACTTTTCTATCAAAAGAGCAAAAAAGCAAACAGCTTTAAGCAGTTAATCATCAAAAAACAACCCCTTTTCAAGAAAAGCTTCAAAATTCAAACCCCACCATCTCCTAGCACTATAATTCAACTAAAAATCCCAGAAAACATCAAACACTTCAAATGGTCTAACAATATGATAAATCCACAAAATTTAAATCAAGTTTTTTATCTCAAACTCATGATGAGGGCAAAATTGGAATTAAAACACTAAAAAAACCATTTTTCCCAATCGGGTCAGACCCAAACCCGGACCTGTTTCTCAGTAAAGAAAAAGGATAAGCTTTCGGCAGATGTGTGTATATATATCAAACGGTGACACCACCGGAAAATTCTCAAATTCTCGCCGGAAAGTGAGATCAGCACAGTAATATCACCGGAAAAAAACAAAACTTTTCACCGGCATATCCGTTTTCCGTCACCGCCGGTGAACCCCTTTTTCTTTCTCTCACTAAAACTCCCTTCTTTCGTCGTCACCCCACCCCCCCAACAGTCACATACACAGAGTGGAAAATCAATTGAATACTTTGTGGCGGGGCCTATATATAAGCAAATGGATAACTATTTTATTTTTGTTCAATTTTGATCACTTATTTGTATAAACTACATTTTAACCCTACAACTTTCCTAATTTGCTATTGTATCGATTTTGTCTTGTTAATTTTTTATTGATTATTTTGTACAAAAAATAGATTTTAATCCCATAGCTTTTCTAATTTGTTGGTGTATACATTTTGTCTAGTTAATTTTGCTTTTATTGCTCTTACATAATTTTGTTTTCACGATTTAGATTATTTCTATTTCGCTCGTTATTTTTATGATAATCGTGTAGTTAGTGAAAAGAGGATTAGCTGAATTAATTCTTTTTTTTTATTGACGAGTAATGAGATGACTAGGGAAAGCGTTGGGTTTTTATTATCTTTTCAAAAATTAAACTTCGAAATACATATTTGATCAGAAAAATTTGAATTTTTCATAAATTTGAAAAACACCCCCAAAAAAAAAGATATTTTCATTTTTCTCATTCCAAATTACTGACAAAAATTCAATAACAAACAACTTTCATTGTATTCATGACCAAGCACAATTTTAATTTTTAAATATAAATTTTTACTTAAAAAATAAATATTACGTTTTTCAACTATTATCAATTTTCATGGTCAGATTCCCCCTTTTTAACTCCCATAACTATCCTAATTTGTTGTTGCATCTATTTTGTCTTGTTAACCTTTTATTGCTTATTTAGTACAAACAAGAGTTTAACACCATAATTTTCCTAATTTTTTGTTGTACCCATTTTGTCTTATTAATTTTTATGGCTTATTTTGTACAAACTACATTTTAACCCCCATAGCTTTACTAATTTGTTGTGGGGTACCCATTTTGTCTTGTTAATTTTTTGTTGCTTACTTTTTGTACAAACTATATTTTAATCCCATAGCTTTCCTAATTTGTTGTTGTGTGCACACAACTTGCCTTGCTCTTGTGTCTTTTTTTTTTTAGTAATAAAATACAACGTCATCTTCCCTTCCACCCCACAAACCTACCCTACTCCACCTCTCATAATATATATGTATAGATTATATATAAATATTTTTAAAATAGTATTTTTTATTTGCGTATTGAGCACAAACATAAAAAGTAACAAATTCATTTATTTATATAATATTTTCCTTCCTATCGAACACACCCTTAAAGTAAAAAAATTGAACTTGACAAAATTCAAGTATTTTAGCAAAAAATCATATAATCATAGATTGAGAATAAAAGAGGAAAACTATAAAGGTGTGATTTATAATTCATATTTCTTCTAGGCCCTTAAGGTTCAATCAATGGCTAAGATTTGGTGATACAATTGTGACCGTCCGATCATGTTCTGTCTGTCCAATGAATCAATACTATATTGAAATCTGAGATAATAAATAAGTTAGAAAGAGTGGTTTGGTTATCGAGATTAGTCAAAATCTTGATATTATTTACTCGGGCGTTCTAATTTATGTGACATTATTTTTATAGTTCATTACGAAAAGAATGTCACATATATGTAATTGACAATTACTAGCACTATTCTTATTTTATCGTTATTGAGTCTCACAGTTAACATTTTATTGTGAAGAAAAATAAACACTAAAATGAATTTAGTAAAAACAATTTGATAAACATAACAAAATCTTCTTTTACTTCATAGGCTCTGCATTAATCAAACGATATCGCATACTTTGAGATAAGGAAGTACCTCACATAAGAGGGGGGACTATATATATGATTAATCATGAGATAACTTTATTTTGAACCAAATGGCTAGTCATAGTTATAGGATGAATTCAATTTCTTACCCTAGTGTTGGAGACAATTAATTTTATGGGAAAAAAATTCAAAATATATCTGAATTTTGATCGAAATTAATAGAACAATCCCAAATTTTAGGCATGGACTATTACTCATGCATTATTAAATAGTATATTTTAAAGATATATAAATGTCCACGTGAATATCATAAATATTGCATCATTATAAATTCGAAAATAGATCGGACCACCAAGGTTAGTTTGCAACTTTACCCAATTTTTTTGCATGAAGTTGTTTCAACATATAATACTACTTATTATATATATAACATGATTTTTTGATGAGAAATTCACTTTTACCCCTTTAATTTTGCTCCAATCACAGTTTTAGTTGTAGGTCTTTAATTTAAATTTGGGAATTAAAAAAATAGTTAAAATTTAGTTTTTTTTAATCTATTTATTTTATTTTAATTTAACACGAAATTTAAGAAAGTAAATACATTTGAGAAATTTTATTTATTTGACACGTGTGAAGTATGTCAAATGTCAGCTTTATAAATAAATATTTTTTACATTTCTTTTTTTAATAAAAAAAATGCATAACCTCACCAAATTTGACAAAGCTTATATCGTCATAATTAACTAAAATGAAGATTGTTAAGATCACATTTGCATATATAATAAATACAAATTTGATAGTCAAGAATGACCTATGATGTGTCTTTCTTCAATAATTGTGAAATAACTATCGAAGTCTCTTTTATCACTCTATTATTTTAATTCTATATAGTCTAATATACACTTGTAAAGCTATATGTGGATTCCTTCAAAAGCCAAAATTAAAGGGCTTTTTTTTCTCTTTTGTCTTAGAAAAAGAGAGTTCTAATTTTATAAGACTTAAAAAGTTAAATTTACTTTTTGAGAGATATATTCAAATACAATGTCTTGAGATAATTTGAATATCCTTTTCTTTTCTTAAGCATTTTGGACACAAATTAGCTCGTGTTCGACAAAACTAAATCGACCTATTTTTGATGGATTCTATTTTTAAAAAATTATATTTTTTAAATAGTAGCGCTACTCGTGTGCATGAAAAGCTCTGATTGAAACTTGAATATTTTTTTTATTGTTTTCCATAGTTAAAATAAATTCTCCAAGTATAATTTTTAAAATAATTAAGAACGTTCAACGATTAGAACACGTATATAACTTTAAATATTTTTAGAAGAGAAAATGATCAAAATGGTCCTTAATGTATGGGCTTTGATTCCATTTGGTCCTTAATGTATGGACTTGATGGAAATGGTCCTTTATGTATCATAAATTGTGATCAATTTGGTCCTTAACCCTATTTTAATGGCAGCGCTTTTTTTTAAATTTTTTTTAACTAAAATCGCTACACGTGGAGCGATTTCCCATTATTTTTTAAGCAGTCCTCGCCTCGGGAATTTTTAATAAAAAAAAATTAAAACTTTTTAAAGAAAATGGCTGCTATAACAGCTATTTCTATTTTTTAAACGCTGTTGGGGTAGCGTTGTTAAAAAAATAATTCACAACAACGATTTTAAAGAAAAAAGAATTTTTTTTGGATCGGCAACGATTTTTATGTTTTTTAAAGGAGTAACAACGTCAATTTTGTCAGAAGAAAATCGCTCCGTCAGGAGCGATTTTGCCCTTTTGGTTAAAAAAAATTTGATGTGCCATTTTGAAATTTTTGGAAACAGGGAAAGGAAAGTCTTGAACGAGCGCATCTTTTACATATTCCGTGTATTTTGACGGCAAAATAAAATAAAATATTAATTTTAGGATTACAGACCAAATTGATCACAATTTATGATACATAAAGGACCATTTCCATCAAGTCCATACATTAAGGACCAAATGGAATCAAAGCCATACATTAAGGATCATTTTCTCGTTTTTAGAATCAACATTAAATCTTGAAAAGTGTTTTAATAATTCTCTCATATCTTTGACTTTTAAAAAATAATATACTTTTGAAATATATGTATTTGTTTGAAAACAAGATGTTTCTATCATAAGAGACATGATTGTTCACATATTTTTCTCATTTTGTTATCATTTGTTGAATTTTATTGTACATATTGACCCCATCAATAATTGATTTATAGATAATTTGTCAACCTTGAAAAGACAAAAAAGAGAGAGGAAAAAATAAAGAAAAAAGGAACGTAAATGGAAATTAAAAGGAAGTTATGTTGAAACTGTCTTTTTCTTTAATTATTTTATTAAAAAAATAATATATATTTTTAGTCGTATGATCATCGTTTGATCATCTTTTTTGAGTTACGAACACACAAGGTCATAAAATATGTGTTAGGCGCGTGATCCATCAACATATAACCTATTAACAATAGAAAGAAAATATAACATATCACAATAGAAGTTATATTCCAGGAATTAAAGCTCCTTACCAGTTATCGCCTTAGGAAGGGAGTATCATACAACTTCACTCATAGTTAATAATAATAATAATAATATCATTTCTTTGTATTCATAATTGAAATCTTTTATCTGATTTGTCAATTCATTCTTGAGGCATGAAATAACTGAAGCGAGCCAATAACTAATCATAATATAGTGTGTACGTTTTAATGAATTATCACTAGCAATCAATTTACTATCCACACTTGTTATACACTTGTGATGTTTCATTTTACCATCTTTAAAATCATGTAACATGTGCTAAAATCTAGAATAATCTAAGTTAGGTTCAATGATCAACGACTAATCAAAAGCCATCATAATCTTAGTTGATATATAACAAACTTATGTGCATGTATATGTGTGACACGTTTTGCAAATGAAATTTAAATATGAATGTGAAAGTTCAATATATTTTGAAGAAAATATTACTATGAAATTATTATTGTTAATAGTACAATTAGAACGTGGTCATTATAAGGTTCTTAAATATTTTAGTACACTTGTTGATATCAGTCACATCTTATGACATCTATAATATTTAATTACATGTTTTTTTGTTTCACTCATCGTATTATTTGTTATTGTTACTGATATTTTCTCTATTATTTTCAATATAGCTTTTCCAAACTCGATTTGTTATATGCTTTTATTAAGTTTAGAACTTTTCATAAATAATTTTTTTACCCTCGATCACAAGACAAGGATATGATTTGCAATACATATCAATACTCTTTCATACTCTTATTTATAAAATTACACTGAATATTTTGTTGTTATTACATTCGTAGTACTTTTGGCCTAATACCATGTTATTGCTTTTGTAATCTTCTTAACACTTGCACTTAAAATAATAAGACTACCATTACTTGAATATTTTTTTAAAATTAATAATCACTAAAACTGTCCTTGTTTAATGATTTTCTCTATTTGCATTAGTTGTACTTTGTCTTTAATGTAGCCAAATTCCACATTGTCACGTGCAAATACCCAACAAGGCAACAAGGAAAGAAGAAAACATGCATTGAGAAAGCAAGCTTACAAAATCTACACTAAAACTGTATTCACTCAACGCGATTAAATTAGTTTTCTATCTAGTATCTGATACTTATATTAAGGCTTGACTATGATAAAATTTGCTTAGAAAAGTCCCACCACAATTATTGATTATTCATATCAAAATTTCAATTTGAGACCTCTAGTTTAATCGTGTGGAACGAATAAATATAAACTCTTGGCATAGTTCATGTTATTGTAAGCAAGTTATTTTTTTTGTTGAAAAAATCTTTGCCTTTTTATAAAGGTGACCAAATCTTAGAGAAAGTTCATCATCCATAATACGGGTCCACCCACCAACATAATCACCATTATAAATTTACATAATATTACACGATGTGAATAACAAACTATAGTGCAATATTAATGGGACAATTAAAGTTGGTGGGATAAAGTTGTGTATGCTATTAAACAAATTAAGTTATTATTCACTGAATTACGCGTTGTGGTTAATAATTGGCGTGGTTTAGTGTGTCCTTGACCCATAAATTAGTTCATGTTAGATTAATTATGCATATTAATTAATTAATAATATATAAACCTAATATAATATTATATATATACCTAGTTTAATACTTTCTCCATTTCATATTAATTTAATTTTTGAGGCATTTTTCATTTTTCAAATTAACTTAATTGTTCAGTTTTCAATACTACTTTTAGAGTGTTCTTCCAATTTTACCCTTCATTAGTTAATATTGGAATTAGTGATTAATTGATATTTAGTTATTTTAATCATAAATTTGACAATAATTAAGAAGGGTAAAAATGGAAAACTAGGTTCAATTTATGTCTTACTCTACTTTTCTTAAAGGGTGTGAAACACCTCAAAAATTAAATTAATATGGAATGGAGGGGTACTATATAGAGAAAATTTCAGAAATAGCAAACATAATAAGGTTTTATAACTATAGTTTTGATAATTGCACTCCATATCTATAATTCCGTTTACTATGGAGGCGTGGTTGTATATTTCTGTCCGTTTGTATATTTTAGTAAAAATTAGGCAAATCACATAGTATAAGAAGGAAATTACTTTCTATCCCTACTCTTTCATTAATTACCAAAAATCCCTTTTTTAGTGTCTTTCGGATACATAATATAGCAGCGCGGATACTTTAATTAATAAAGGGCGGATACTTAAATTATTAAGTTGTTGGCACGGATACTTAAATTAATAACGGGCGGATGCATAATATAGCAGCGCGGATACTTTAATTAATAACGGGCGGATACTTAAACTAATAAAGTATCCGGTTAAGTTGAATTGGGGGAAAATAAGGGATTTTTGTATTTTAGTAAAAGAGTAGGGAAATATTGAGAATAGGTAAAGTAATGTTGTGTACTTAAGTAATTTATCCTATATTTTAACCCATTTTTTGTCTTTCTTCTTTTGGGCTTTTACTCCATAGATTTGGGCCTATGTCAACGGCTAGTTAACAATAGATCCGAACAAAGTTGTTAAGCGATAACAGAATTCAAATTTTCCATTTCAAACGGCTATTGCTATACACAGAAAAGTTTCAATTTTTTTTCTTTTTTACTCTTCCATTAAAGCTTGTAACTTTCAATTTACTTACTTCAAACTGAAAAAAAACCCAGTTGTTGTTTTTTTGAATGGACTACAACCCAGAAATTTAATCAAAGGTACTTTTTCAACAACACCCATTTTGTTTAATATTGTTTATTGATTTGTAAATAGAAAGAAAAACTGAATCTTGTTGTATGATGTTGTGTAAGTTTTTTTTTGTGGGTGTCTGAAAGATTTAGTCTTTCGGAAACACACTCTCTACCTCCTCCACAAGGTAGTGGTAAGATCTGCGTAGATTCTATCCTGCTCGGATGAAATTTCACTGGATATGCTGTTGTTCTTGTTGTTGGTGTCAGGCAAAATTACTAATTGTTAATGTTTTTATGTTTTTTCCTCTTGATTATGTGAATGTATGTGCTGTGTTCTTTTAATTTTAGTAATTTATGATTCTGTGAATATATGTGTTGTTTGAGATTATCGAGAACATGATTTTAGATATAAGGTTGCGGAGGACATAGATTAGGTTAGGAGGTTGGTAGATAGTAGTGTGTTGTCTTGTTGTCCTTCGAGACTATTATTAGCCGTAGTGCTGTTGCTGTTTCTTGTCCTTCAGTTTCTGTCACTATATTGTTGTTGTATAGTAGTTCTGCTTGTGTGATTATTTAGGGCAGATTCTGCTAGAGCATGAAAATGTACAATTTTTTTGTAAAATATTTCAATGCTTAGCATGTATGTGTTTTTTAATCTTCTATAATTCATTATTTAAGATTAAATGTGTCAATCTTTTGAAATTCTGGCATTTCCAGTGAGTAATAATTAGTGTCCTTCCTTAGAAAAAGCTTAGATCTTGGATTTATGTGGAGAAAGATTGTGAACAAGGAACACTTAGTTAGACAGTTTATTTTAGGATGTTATTGTGATTATAAGAGCTCTGCACTAGACTAGAAACTGGACCAATTGGAAGGTTCAAAAGCATTTCGAGTTTTCATATCGTCCAATGAGAGGCAATGGAGCTAAACCTGATATGTTCATTAGGAAATCCATTAAATATGTATATAAATATTTAAGGTCGCAAGTTCAGAACTCATAAACTTTAATGGTGTTCCGCGTCTGAGTTCCCAGTCTTGCCTAAATTCATGTCTTTGCCTATGCCTTTCTTGGAGGTAAGAGGTTTAGGGATCGACACTTAGCTATTACTCCTTCTGTCATCTGTCTCTATAGTTTTCATTTCTTGAGATTCTAGATTAACACAAAAGCTGCACTGTGCACTGATAGGGAGAGATACTTGAGGGAAGATAAAGACCAAAATATATGCGAAAGTGTTTTGCCAATGACTTCAGTTGGTTCGTTTCAAAGATCTTTTTGGAGATTGATATTATAGCATGTCCTATTTAGTATTGTTCCGTTGTGGTTACTGCTCTCATTTATGTACTCTCTTTTTCAAACTGCTTGGAAATTCTTTAATTTAAGTCGAGGGAGGGGTCTATCGGAAACAATTTCTCTATCTCTACGAGGTAGAGGTAAGGTCTGCGTATACTCTACCCTCCCCGAACCCCACTTGTGAGATTCCATGTGTTTTGGTGCTGAAATTCTCTCATTTGTGCAAACAGGTGTTTTAGTTGATCTCAGTTGGAGGGAGGAAATGGACACAGTACATGAAGCACTAGATGAGGCCAAACTTGAGATTGAAAAGCTCAGGGCAAACTACCAAAGTAAAGCTGAGTTGTGTGAGAACTTGAAAAGAGTCAACAATGAGTTGCTAACCAAGAATCAGGAGGCGAATTTGAAAGTTGAGAAGCTCACTCATGAATTGTCAGGGAAAGAAGATGAGCTTGCTGTCACTAAACAGTTGCACAAAGCAATCGAGTCAAAACTTAAAGAAAAGGAGACTGCTGTCAAGCATCTAAGTTCTACAAATGATAAGCTTCGTGCTGACATTGCTGAGATGCTCCAAAAGTTTGAAGAAGAGAATAGAGGGCTGGCATTGGCTTTAGATGGTGCTAATTCAACTAATATGGATCAGGAACAGCAGATTCGTTCTCTTGAACAAGAAATTGAGGGGCTAAGGGCTTCGGCTTCACAGAAGAAAAAGTCCTTGGAAGTTGATGAGAAGAGAGCCAAAGCATCCAAAGAGCTGAGAAACACCGATGATATGCTACTGGAGATGGAGCAGGAAAACAGGAAGCTCACAGATCAACTAAAATGGAGGAATGAACAGTTCATTCATCTGGAAGAGGCTCATGGCAAGCTCAGGCAACAACTTAAAAAATGTGAAGAAGAGAAAGAAGGGCTAGCATTGTCTTTAGATGGTGCTAATTCAACTAATGTGGATCAAGAGAAACAGATTTGTTCTCTCAAAAAGGAAATTGAAGGGCTAAGGGAATTCGTATCAGCTTCACAAAAGAAGTCCTCAGAAGCTGAGAGGAGAGCCAAAGCATCCAAAGAGCTGAGGCACAGTGATGATATGCTTTTTGAAATAGAGGAGGAAAACAGGAAACTTGAGGAACAACTTAAATGGAAGAAGGAACAGTTCAGTTATCTGGAGGAGGCTCATGGCAAGCTCAAGCAACAGCTTAGCAAGTATGAAGAAGATGGTAGAGGGATGGCATTGGCTCTAGATGGTGCAAATGCAACTAATTTGGATCAAGAGCAACAAATTCGTTCTCTCAAACAAGAAATCGAGGGGCTAAGGGAATTTGTATCATCTTCACAGAAAAAGTCCTCAGAAGCGGAGAAGAGAACTAAAACATCCAAAGAACTGAGACACAATGATGATATGCTGCTCGGCATGGAGGAGGAAATCAAGAAGCTTGCAGATCAACTTAAATGGAAGAAGGAATCGTTCAGTCATCTGGAGGAGGCTCATGGCAGACTCAGGCAACAACATCTAGAGGAGGAGAAAGAATGGGCTAAGGAGAGATCCACATTGCTAGATGAGATTTCCAAACTGCAGATGAATTTAGATTGTCAGTTTAGAATCTCAAAAGATCTTGAAAGCCGTTTGTGGATGTGCAATCAGGCTTTAGCTCATGAAGAAAGCAAGAGAAAATTACTGGAAGTTCAACTTGCTGAGTCTAAAACATCCTTTAACAGTGTCTGTGCGGAGTACGAGGAATCCAAGTCTATAATTGAGAGCCTGACAAGTCAGAGGGACAAAGAAATTGCGACTCTAAGAGACATATTGGGCTCAAGGGATACACTTCACAAGGAAATGGAATACCAATTCAGGAGGGTAGAGCAAGAGAATCATGAATTGATGACATCCCTTAAAGAACTCCAGGAAGCCAAAATTCAAGAAGCTGGAGCTTCTTCTTCCTTGTCAAAACTCCGAAACAAGCTCAGAGGCCTGGAGCAGGTGCACAAGGACTGTTTTGGTAATCTCAAAGCCAAAGAAGCTGAATGGGATTCTAAATTGGAGAAACTAACGGGGGAGCTTGATCTCTACAAGTCTTCTGTACAGAGCAAAGACACTTTAATTATTGAACTTCGAGAGGAGTTGGAGACGTGTGAATCACTAACATTGCAGTTAACACTACAGAATGAGGAGACTTCCATGATGCTGTTAGTGTTGAAATCTCAGTTTTTTGAGCTCCATCAAAGAATTGCTGATGATTATGCTTCTATGGAATTGGAGAAGAGAGAAGGAGTTGAGAATATCTCTACTCTAATCAAACAGTTGAATACGAAGAATGAAGCTCTTGTTAGAGTTCAGGAAGATCTCGAAGAGGAGCGTGAAAAGGTAGCACTGCTGTCAGAAAAGATCGAGTCCTTGAATTCTGAAGAACAACAACAGCTTCCTTTACAAAGAGAGGTTGATACACTAAAGGAAATGCTGAAAGAAGCATCAACTTCTCAAAGTCATTTGAAGGAGCAGGTATTGCATACAAAGAGTGACTTGGAACAAGTTCGTGATGCCTTGGATAGAGCAAATGAAGAACTAGCTGAAAGTTTCGAAGAAGGAAATGAACTGGAATTTGAACTGCAGGTATGGAAATCTGTTGCTGAAAAGTTGAAAGCCAACTTGGAAGAAAACCTTCAAATGAGGAGACAAATAGAAGCCTCCCTCCTTGCCCAAGCAGATGTTGAATTTGACCTCAAACAAGAAAGAGAAAGCCTTGAACTCGAGCTGGCAGAAAAAGATACAAGAGTGAATGAACTCCAGCAGAAGCTCTTTGACCAGAAAAGGGAACAGACAGCGTTGCTCAGTGAAAATATTGAGGACAAGAAGACTTCTCAGGATCTTCAGAAGGAAGTGGAGTATTTGGAGCAAGAGTGGGTGAGAAAAGAGCTTGAAGGTGCCATTTTAGCACAAGTGGAAGCAGAAACAAAGCATAAGAAGGAGAAAGAGAGCCTCCACCAGATTGTTGAAGAGAAAGACCACAGAATATATGATCTTCAGAAGGAGGTGGAGTATTTGGAGCAAGAGTGGGTGAGAAAAGAGCTTGAAGGTGCCATTTTTGAGCACGTGGAAGCAGAAACACAGCATAAGAAGGAGAAAGAGAGTCTCCACCAGCTTGTTGAAGAGAAAGACCACAGAATAAATGATCTTCAGAAGGATGTGGAGTATTTGGAGCAAGAGTGGGTGAGAAAAGAGCTTGAAGGTACCATTTTTGAGCACGTGGAAGCAGAAACACAGAATAAGGAGAAAGAGAGTCTCCACCAGCTTGTTGAAGAGAAAGACCACAGAATAAATGATCTTCAGAAGGAGGTGGAGTATTTGGAGCAAGAGTGGGTGAGAAAAGAGCTTGAAGGTGCCATTTTTGCCAAAGTGGAAGCAGAAACAAAGCATAAGAAGGAGAAAGAGAGCCTCCGCCAGATTGTTGAAGAGAAAGACCACAGAATATATGATCTCCAGCGGCTTGTCAACTCGCTGGAAAATGAGTTTGAAAGTTCAACTAGCTCATTCTCAGCCAGTCTCTCGGAAATGCAAGCAGAGGTTGATATGTTTCATAAAACCTGGGAGAAGATGAGAACAGCTGAGATCCTAAAAGAGATTGAAATACAGATGAGGAACGTGGTGATCGTTGAATTAGAAAATGAATTTTGCAAGTTGCAAAAGGAAGTGGAGCACTTGGAGAAACACGTGTCCAATTCTGTTGGAAAAAGGACAGAGCTTGAAGATGAAATTGAAGCCAAAAGATCAGAGATAGATGTGTTGCAGTTTAAACTTGAAAAGCAAGTAAGAAGCTCAGATATTGTGATCAAGAACCTTCGTAAAGAAAAAGCGAAGCTTCTTGAAGATGTCATGAAATTGTCATCAGACAAGGACAAGTTGCTTGATACTTTCATGGAATTATCAGAAAGAATTTCCCGAATGTCTAAGGAAGATATGCAGCTAGCTGGTAATTTGGAAAGAATGGTACAAAACTGTTACAGCAGTATGCCGGGAACAGACTCGAAATGGGATAATGAATTCTTTGACCCTGTTAAAGAGAACAATAGCAGACACCCTTCCACTCCAACTTCCACTTCAACCAAGAGATTAGAAGCTATTCTTGATGAAAGATCACCGTTGAGATCTCTCAACACTTAACAAGGAAATTCAAATAAGGAAAAGAGAAGTTATTTTTTTTGTATAGCTTCTTGACAAACTTGATCTAATTGTTGTTATCTTGTCAGCAATCTGTAACTGGCTCGGAAAAACACGTTTACTAGAGCTTCCATTTAATAAACTGTAGCATTTATTCATTCACTTTTATTTTTTGGTTCTTTTTCAAGTCACCTCCTTGTATACAGTCGCAAGCAAATGACAATGACAACCAACATTTAGTACTGTTTTAATGACTGAATTTTGTATTTGTGTTGTATGTTTGGGAAGATTTTGTTACCTACAAACTGTTCTCATGCCTTCTAGAAATCTGAATTAACGGTTATATGAACAATTAAACTGTCTGACTGAAATCTGTCTTAATACATCAAGAAAACATCATTAACAACTAGTTAACATAGAACCTGCTTCATAACACAAAATCATTAGTTACTTTTTAACTGCTGCAGCCTTTAAATCTGGGATATAAAAGACTCCATCCGTTCCTTTTTGACAACGTAACATGTTTAAGGCCACAAAATTAAAAGTCATATGGTAAATTCTACATATCTTTAACTTAACACCACAAGATTCAAAAGTTTTTTTACTTTTTCTAACTCCATGTGACCATGTCAAGTCAAAACCAGACTAACAAATTGAAACGAACGGAGTAAAAATTTGATAATTTGATGTAACATTACAATGCATTTCCTAATTCAAGCCATTATAGTTACTTGTAAGTTTTGCAAGTGTTATTTTTAAGAAAAGCTATCTAACTTGGAGTTAGCTTGCTATTGTTTGCAACTTGTTAAATCATGCAAACACTTGGTATGTAGGATTTCAATAAAACGCCAGTATGAATGTTCTTCCTTTCGAGTCTTTTGTCTTATGATCTATAGATCTTATTTCACTAATCTTTTATTTATTTTCACAATATTTGCATTTCTTCTAGTCCCTTTGAAAGAGGAAAGGTCCTAAGCCTTTCATTATTATTCATTATTCATCAATGTTAATGAACACAACTTCTTAACTCCTTTTTTACCCCATAGAAATATATATACTATTAAATATAGAAAGTGGTTTCAGTTTGGATTAGCCTTAATTTCTCCCAATTTTTGCTTCTAAAGAAAACTAACAAAGCTATCAAAAAAGACCATAATTTAACGTTTACACAAATATTAAAGTAATATTCGTATCTTACAAATTCTCCCGTTAAACAAAATTCTCATTTTTCCTTAACATTATGAATGTTACCAAATGAAAAAAAAAAAAAGCCTCAAAACCTTTCTCCTACTACCAGAAAGTGGATACCAACAATAATAGATAGTATATAGTTAGTGTATAATATATATACATATTTATCGAACGGCCAATCATCAAATTATTGGTCATTCCATAATTGAACTTGGTGTTTTCAACAAGGACAAAACTAGCACCTCAACCTCAAATTTCCCAATTGGTACCCTCCATTGGAAATATTATTCCCAATATGCCACGTGTCCCAATTATATGTAACTTTTTAATTTTTATTTTGGGAAAAACACATTTTTGCTCTTCTTCTTCCACCTCCATAACTTTTTCTTCCCTTGTTTTTACAAAGCATCATACATACGGCGTCGTTTTGAAGGTTTCTTCCTTTCTCTGTATTCCGGTAGGCAAGGTTAGTTTCATCATCTTCATCTTCTTGGTAGTTTCCTTTATTTTCTTTTTTCTTTTTTCTTTTGAAAGTTGGGTTTTTTTTGCTCAATTTGGCTTAAAATTTTCAATTTTCTGTATTTTTTCAGTTTTTATTGGAAATGGATTAGTAGAAATTTGAATTCTGTGAAAAAAGAAAATACCCATGTAAAAAGATTTGATTTTTCATTCAAACTCCACTTCTGAAGGCTGATTTTTAGGGTAGAATTGAGACTAGGGTTATATTAGTGACTTAATTTCAATTCTGATGATGTTTTCATTTATGGGTTTTGCAGATATTTTTCAAGAGAAGTAGAGGTTGAGGGGGGAATCATCACTATCCTTGTTTTGTAATTAGGAAGACTCTTTGATCAATGTGGAGTAGTTTAGTTATCTTATGCTGCTAGTGATAGTTGGTTGTTTGCTTAGCCTTGTCCAATAATGGCTGCTGCGGGTTCTTTGCAGTTGTCCCATTATTTGGGGACTTGCAAGAACCATGAGCGCCTTAAGAAATATTCACCTATACAGGTACCTTTTCGACTTGGTTATATGTTTTATTTACATCACTAAATCTTCTTCCCATATTGAGTGAATGGTAGGAAACAACACCTAAAGTATCCGTGTTTTCGAGTTTATACCTATCACCTACTATTCATCAAAACATACATACGTTGTTCATATTTCCTATCGTTCTGAACGATGATGGTATTTCATGTAGGAAAAGGGAACAACTAATAGTTGAGGTGTGTTTTGATAAATAGTTGGTCATAGTTCAGGTAGATAGGAAACTCAAATACATGATAGTTCAAGTATGAAACTTGAAAAAAAGGGATACTTTAGGTATTTTTTGACCATTAACTCTTTTATATTATTTGGTTTAATTCCACTTGCTTCCTTATAGAACACACTTGGAAGGAGCAGGTGGCATTCTTGTTGCACGAATCTGTCATCTTTTTCATCGGTAAGTACTTTTGATTGCACGTGGATGACTTCTTTGGATTTCAGAAAAGATTGGTGTAAATTGTGTTTAACTTCTTTCCCCGTCTCCCCTTGCCCATCCCGTTCCTACCCATGCATTGAAAACAGTCTTGTTTATCTCATTTTATAGATATTGGTTCACTTGTAAATGATTGAACAATTCAAAGGAGAAATGGAGTCCTCACTCCTCATAAGGTCTAAAAAAGGAAGGAAAAAAAGGAGAAGAAGAAAGGTCTAGAGGAACTTTCTATCACTTTGCCTTCACTATCCCGGTTAAAAGAAAGAAGAGAAAACTCCAAGAGAAAAATAAGGTGGCAATCTTGTAGTAAAAGAATTAGCTCAATGGGTATTATTTCTTACGATAGTGTAATCTATGCAAATAGGGTGCTTGCGCTTTTTCCTTGTTGATATCTTCTCTGTCATTCAATTGTGGTAATGTATTTGGCTTCAGAAATTTGTTCTAAACTCAATTTTCTGTTATGTTACATTTTCAGCGGCAGGACTCTTGGAGTATCCATCACTTAAGAGGATTGCAAGTGAAGAAACATGTGCTCCCATATAGAAGCAATTTGTTCAAGTGTAATTCTTTCCTAAAACCTGACCAAGCTTTTGACATTTCTGTAAAGAATGCTGCTATTATACTGAAAAGGTAATTCTTGTTTGTGTTCAATCAGAGAAGACTACGCGTGTATTATTTACTATATGTAGCCTTCATATGAATAGATCTGGGTAAAGATGAACAAATCGAAATTCAAGATTAGATGACGATGATAGTTTGAATAATGCTTGAATTAGGAGGATAGCTATAGTATCTTAACAGAGATGTTAAGAAATTAAGTTAAAGCAGCTATCTACATTGTGTGGTGAAACCCTTTACTTTTTTAGATCTAATATATTGAAGTTGAGTTTAGGCGTCTTGAAATGGTTTACTAACCATAGTAAATAGGATGAGGTCTGCCTGCTTATTTTGAGGAAAAAACAATAGTTTTTTTTATAGCACAATTCCAACTTGTATGCACATACTTTAGTATCGGCTGCTAGATTTCACCCCTTTTACCTGTTTAACGTAGTTTATATTGTTCCCTCATAAATTTTAATGAAGAAGATTATTGTTGATTCATGCAGATCATACAATAGCTTACAAGGAAGCCCACATCTGCTTAAGTTGCTTCCGGCAATTGGAATCCTTACTTTTGCAGTTTGGGGTCTAGCACCATTTCTGCGTCAAAGTAGAAATGTACTCCTTCATGTATGAGTATGTTTGTTTTGGTTATATTTCTTTGTACATATCCCTCTTCGTCTATTTTTAGTTTGACAACAATGCCTGATTATGGTGCAGAAGAGTGATAACAGCTGGGGAAAGAGTGGTACATATTATGTTATGACCTTTTATCTTCAACCTTTGCTGTTGTGGACTGGGGCAATGCTTGTCTGCAGGTTAGTTCATTCAATTGCAAGCAGAGATCTTTCCTCATGACTGATTTACTTCTTGATGGCAAGCTGATGCATGAAATATATTTCTTGCAGAGCATTAGACCCCATGGTGCTACCAACAGAAGCTAGTCAAATTGTTAAACAACGGCTTCTGAATTTTGTAAAATCATTGTCTACTGTGCTCGCCTCTGCATATTGTTTGTCCAGGTAAGTGTGGTTTCTGGAGATCTTAAAAAAAACCCTTTGTAGCCAATCGCTTATCTAATTTTAATATTAATGAATTACGGGTGAATGACGGGAATTGAACAAGCATATTGTTGATAGAACTCCAAAATGACATTCTTTTGACCAAATTTTGCTCTGCTTTACCACTCAGAAAAAATGGAAGATATTGTTAATAACTAGAAGTACGTCTTGTTCATTAACATCTTGGAAATATTCTGCCATAGTTAGGGCAGTCAAACCTATGCTCGAAAATCAAAATATTTTGAGCACAGTTTATATGGTTCAGGTGTATTTTATCTTTAGTATGACTTATTTTAAATAGAACTTCTTCAACCAACTAAACTTAAACAACATTTGATGATGAAATATGAAAAAAAATTGAAAAAATTCTGAAGCAGAATACGTTTTTTGAGGCGTTATAAAGAAATCATGCTTGTACTAAAATCAGTGGTCTAATTCTAAGGTTTCAAGCGTTTTTGTGTTGACATTGTCTACTTGGACTGTCATATTGCAATTGGTTTAAAAGTTGTCCATATGTCGGCATTTGTCTTGTGCTTTCTATTTTATACTCCCTTCTAGTAGATGACTGCATTAAGTTGCAGCAAGATAAAGTGAAGAAAGTCTTGAGATATTTATATTGGTACACATCTTATATCAGAAATGATATGGTATGTGCTTAAAGTAATAAGTTAATTGTTTAAAAGAGGGGTACTTTGCTGAATTATGACTCAAGACTAGCCTAAGTGTTGTGTATTTATCTAATATCTTAGAGATGGAGAACCAGGTCAGATACACTGGAATAAATTAGAGAGCAAAAGGCCTCTTACATT